TGTACTTTTTCAAGTATATAAATTTTCACTCTCCTCACTTTATTCATAATCTCATCATTTTCACACGTCAGTGAGTTAACCAAACTCAAGGCCTTCTTTACTAAAAGAACTGGCACAGTTCTATTTGCCAAGGGCAATATCCTTAAAACTTAATGAATAATAACTGATAGGTCAGGCAGTATCCTTCAGACAGCTCCTTTGAAAGCACTCTAAACAGCCATTTCCATTTTGATTGCTGGGTGAGGATTGTAACCTTCAATATGAAAATCTTCGGCTTTGAAATCATCAATGGTCTCAACTTTTCGAAGAATTTTGAGCTTCGGGAAAGGTCTTGGTTCTCGCTGAAGCTAAAAACAAAAAATAAGACCATTATTTTGCCGTATTTGTACTGCCTGTTCTAATTTTGCTCGCCATGTCACTTCATGAAACAGACTATCTCATCAACAAAGTTATTTTACAGGGTGGACTGCTATAGAAACCTTGTCCCTGGTCACATAACACTGGTGGAGTATCACCAACTGGTTTTCCACACAGATCAAGAGTGAAGGGTATTTTGTTACATTACACAGTGTCAGGAGCCTGGTGGTGGCTCGTCAGGTATAAATTTTTGTAATCACTTGGTAAATTTATTAAAGACAACGCCATAGTCTTTATTTTTCAATCTGTAACTTATAGCAGCACTCAGAATGGTTACTTGAGTTCCATAATCCCTATCTCTAGTGTCTCTGGCAGAAGAGGAAGGGAAGATGATAGCTTTTAAGAGTGAACAGAAAGGGATGCAAGCCAGGATTCCTGAGACAAACAGATAGTGGCAATTAGGATGTGGACACAGATCACAACCTCACGTTATTGTGTCCAACATGACTGGAGCAGACAGCCACAGAGAAGTATCTGAATAAGTCTCAAGCTACCTTGTACTCAAAAGCAGCCAAGCCCCCTCAAAGGAGTAACTTTTTAAAATCACATTTAATCTGGAAAGGGCTAAAAGACTTTTGGTTCTAAATCTTTTTATCATGGGGCTCATGAAACACAGATACTTATATATTTGCCATTTCAAATCATCTGTTGACTGCTATAACCCAAGGATTTGAAAAGACAGACTTTGGAAAGTTCAGACCTAGATATTGTATTTAGCATAAAATTAAGGAAAAACATTTGCATTTCAATTCTCCTTCAAGCAAAAATACAAGTTAAAATGCCACGTCTGGGATGGTCCCAAACGTGGCTCTTCCTCTCTGGTACTGGTGCTTAGTACCTTACAGCACCTGACATGTTAAGTGCCTGTGGTCATTCAGGCAGGTGTCTTGCCCATGTGCTCATCGCCCTTCCTTCAATTTAAAGACCCACAGTTGGAGCAGTCATCTTTATCTCAGACATAGCAATGAGTAGAATGCTTGTTGCATAAGGGATGTTCCAGAGATCAACCTGTTATCAAGAGAAGGTACCAAACCCAAGTGTAACAAGTATAATTCTCACCTGAATTTTCAGTGGCTCGATGTGATTCAGGTAAATATGTGCATCTCCCAAAGTATGTACAAAGTCACCTGGCTAAATAAACCCCATGGGAGAAAGCAAAACAGTCAGTTTTAATTCCATTACCCTAAAATACATCATTTAAAAGCACATTATACAGAGTATGCAGATACCCCCAGTCTTTTCAAAGACAAACAAAAAATTTAACCAGTGTAGCTTTTGAGAAAAGTTAATTCGTGAAAGTTGTATTATAAGCAACTCACATAGGCTGGCTGTTAGCTCAGTTAGAGCACGGTGTTGCTAACACCAAGGTCCAGGGTTCAGATCCCTGGACTGGCCAGCTGCCCACACCCCTCCAAAAACCAAAAAACAATCCCACAATAACCTATATACACCTGTTGTTTATACAGACCAGAAGGATAGAAAGCTCCATGAAAAGTTACAAAGTGAGCCGGTTAATGTTTTATTTACACGCATCAAACTTTAAAACACTGAATTCTCTGCAGCTAATTTCCGTAGGTTAAAGACTCAGAAATCAGGGCATCAGGCTGGCAACAGCCCTTCCCTCCAAGAGCAGCCCACCTTCAGGCCTGTGACGTGCGCGATCATGTACGTGAGAAGCGCATAGCTGGCGATGTTGAAAGGCACGCCGAGGCCCATGTCTCCTGACCTCTGGTACAGCTGGCAGGACAGCTCACCGTTCACCACGTAGAACTGGCAGAGGGCATGGCACGGAGGCAGCACCATCAGAGGGAGATCTAAGGACCCAGCATGGAGGAAAATGAGGAGGGGTGGCAGTTTGAAAGAACTCAGCTATAGCCAAAGTAAAACAGGAGACAAACGGAAGCTAACTCATATGGTTTGGACCTTGAGGAAGAGCTACTGAGTGCAGAACCTCATGACCCTCAACTTCCTGGCACATCAAAAGCAGCTCATTCCCTCCACCCCCGCAGCGATGGTATGAAGCTGAGACCTGTCTTTCCACCGGCATGAGATTTCTGCAGATGTACATTTACAAGTGAGGCAATGCTCTTCCATTCAAGCTGAAATTAAGGATTTGTGCAACCTTCCTGGCACCAAACTACAAATGCAGAAGGAATTATTTCATTTGCAGGGACCACAGGAAACTGGCATTTCAGGCACACCGTCCTGTATTGTCTTTATTGTAGATGCAAATATTCCACTCTGGGTATTTATTACACCCTGGTAAGAGTTCAGTTTTACAATATAATTGTTAAAAGTGTTAACATGAGTTGGAGGTAACCTGAAACTTCATCTGCTCCAATTTAAAATGTTAAAACCCTACATGTAATTTTATAGGCAATTTAAGGGCTCTTTTTAGAGTAAGAATGAGTATAAATATACACAGATTAACGTCTTCTGGGCCCAGCTCCATGACCTGAAGGTGAAAATGGGATGAATTGCGAACATCTGGGGGTCACACAACCAACCGTGCAGCTGGGGGCAGTACCCAGGTCCTGCCACCCTGTGGTGCCTCTGCACAATGCCACATTGCTTCCCTTTGTGCCAACAGTACAGCTAGTGCCAAAGAGAAAGACTGGGATGCTTTCAACCTTTTGGATTCCAAGCACACATGATGATTCTTCTGTCGTCAGGGTTGGTTTTGATGGTGTCAACCACTTTTTGCAGCTGGTCTACTCCTTTACCTGAATAATCTGTAGAATTGTCAGAAAGAGAAGACACACACACCCGTTAATCACAGCATCTCAGGAGATGGCCTTTGAGGTCATCTGTTACAGCCTTTCCAACAATATCCCCCCTTTATGTATGGTTACAAGACATCCAGTGCATTCTGCAAGTTTCTCAGATCTCTGGTTGAGTTCAAGGCCCTATCTGAGTCCTTGGGTCTATCCTCTGGAGCCATGACAAAGTCTTATTTTCTTTGCTATACACGAGGCCTTTAAGTATTTGGTTTGTCGTGGTGCCTCCTCCTGTCCTTCCCCCTCCCTCTATTGTTAACCCCTCCAGTGTCAACAATCTTAGTTTCCTCTAGTGGTCCCCATGAGACTTAGTCTCTGTTTCCACCCATCATTCTTGTTACACTTCACTGACAATGTAGTTTATCCTTGTCCCACAGAAAGAATTGGATCCTAAATAGAATACAGCATTCCAAACACATTCCAACAGAACTGTGGGTTCCTTTCTATGACCCAGGAACTATCCTGCCCACAGTCCACCTAAAATTACATTACAGTTCAACAGCTAAACACACAATTGACCTGTAAACATCAGCAAACCTCTATAATGAGTACATCACCTTGTACTTTTCTCCCATTTCTGGTCTCTGGACTTTGTTTGCCTTCCATCTAAGATGGAACTGGAAACTGAGCAGTGAGTGGTTAACTGAAGCACAGAACTTCATTCTGCTCTGGTTAAACTACCACTTACTGGTGTCAGACAACATTATAGTCCAGTAGTTCTCAAATTTTTTGGATGAAAGTCCTCTCCCTCTCACAATCCCAATAAAAGTAGTATAAAAGATTTTTAAAAGATGAACTATGATGGAATATTTCTGTATCTTCATTTGGTGGTGGTTCCATGAATCTACACATGTGCTAAAATTGCATACATACACACACAAATGAGTGCATGTAAAATTGGTGAAATCTGATAACTCTGCATATTGCACCAATGTTAATTTGTGCAGCACGTTACACAAGATATTACCATGGAGGCAAACTGGGTGAAGGCTATGGGAGACCTCTTGTATTTTTTTTTTTTTCTTTTTGCAATTTCCTGTGAATTTATAATTATTTCCAAATAAAAATTTAAAAACAAAAAAGACAAATTCCCCCACTGAAATCCAACAGCTAAACGTTCATACAACTCTAAACCAAGGCCATAATTTTATTAGGCCCCTTAAGCAACAAGAAATCATTGAAAACTAGGCAGGATTTAATGCACCACTAGCCAGGAGAGAAGCCTCTTATCCTAAGAAGGATGCTCTAGAACAGCAATCACAGGCTAACAACCTGTAGAAGGTTTACCCGCAGCAATAGTTCAGCCCACACAGGGTTTTTATTGTGGTGAAGTACACACACATAAAGTTTAACTGACCATTTTAAGTGTTCGATTCAGTGGCATTAAGTGCACGCACACTGTTGTGCAACCATCACCACTATCCATTTCCAGAATGTTTTCACCATCCCAAAGTGAAACTCGGTACCCATTAAACATTAACTCCCCATTCCTTCTTCCCCCCAGTCCCTGGTAACCACCACTTGACTTTCTGCCTCTATGAATTGTTTACAGATCCACACAATATTTTTAAAGTTCCTGAAGTTGAAAACATTTAAAAGATCTCCTGATGGCACCTAATGCAGATGTTAGGGTTTTTTTTGGGGGGCAGCTGGTCGGTATGGGGATCCAAACCCTTGACTTTGGTGTTATAACACTGCACTCTTAACAATGTAGCTAAACCAACCAGGCCAGGTTTTAGGCTTTTACTGAGGAATTCTGACAATACTGGGCTCAAACCCTCCAGTGGCTGGAGGTGAGAGGTGACTGTCCCCTGTAGATGAGATGCATACCCTCCAGCTTGCTGGTCTCTACCCAGCCAGCAAATTGTCACTTCCTGCGTGTACTTGCATCCAAGGTGCCCATTTGCTTTTGCAACCCCTGTTCTAAGGACAGGTGCGATAGGGAGAGCCAAAAGATGGGGGTGGGCTCTGTGATACTCAGCAAGTGATACAACCAACTGTGATGACGATCAAATCCAGGAGTGAGATGTTTCATTCTTCTCCATCCCAGCAGAGGGGGTTAGAGAGGGTGACCCTGGCACTGTGCTATCACACCAGTGCCACCTACAGCGTGCTGGTGGCTCAGCCTCTAAAGGGGTGATTGAAGCTGTCACAAGGCACCTGGGCATCCTGTCCCACAGATGAACTTCCTTCCTATCCTCTTCCCCAACAGACACCAACCATGCAGCTATCTGTTAATGTTACAGGTCTGGAAAGTGCCAAGCACCCAATAAATGCTAATCAATAAGAGTATAATGTGACCTTCATCATGGTTAGTTGTGGCTCCTCCACAAGAACCTGGCACAGCCTCTCACAACATCAAGATTATACATGAGCTCCCCAGACACTGACTGCTTATCCCCCAGATTTTATCTGAAATGATGGAGCAAACTCAGCCTAGGAAGGGCACTGGGGAAATTGGAGGCACTCCTGTCTCCTCACCTGAATTCATATCTGTGTATTCTGCCCCAAAATGCCTCCACTGGAAGCCATAAACTGGGCCGAGGTCCCCTTCTACTCTGGTGGAGAATCCCAGGCTGTCCAGAAAGTCTCGGGAACCGTTGGCATCCCAGATCTTCACTCCCTTGGAAGAGAGTTCTTTAGCATTTGTGGATCCCTGGAAGAGATGAGAGGAGTGGAGCAGGCATCCAAGTGAGTTCTGTGCCACCTGGATTGATCCCAAGAGCCTCCCACCCTGCAGGCCTCCAGCCCTGCTGACATGCTGGGGACAGGTGCTTGACACCAACCATGTGCAGACAGTCCTATCTTCAAGCAGGCTGGTCCCAGCCCCTACTTTTGAGGGCCTACAGGACAGTCTGATTCCTCTTTTGGAATCACCCTCTCAAATCTTTTCTCCTATTCCTCTTGAGTAAACTTTCTAGACTAAACACCGCCAAGTTGTTTACATTATTTCCATCTCATCTGACAGTCTTATGTTTATCTAATATGTTCTGTGTCTAAGTGTGATACCCCAAAATGAATTTAAAGCCTCGTGTGCAATCTGTTCAGTGTATCTTATACATGACATAGGATATTTCTAATGATCAGACTAAACAGTATGAGTTTTTCTGGCAACCATCAGTCACACTGATCTAAATTTAGACCTTAGTTCATTCATATATGTGCCACTCTAAAGTTATGTTTACCCCGTGTATACTTACACAGTTGTGGTTTTTTTGTTTTGTTTTGCCAACTACAAAGCCTTGTGTTTATTTTCTTACATTTCATTCCAATAGATTTGGCCCATGACATCCTAACCTGTACCCGGACTATGCACCCAGGTCAAGGACAGACCCCCATATGTTTCTGGTGCCTCTGGGCATACTGTGCTGTAATGGTTACCAGCAAGGCTTTGGTGCCATGTACACGTGGGCTCTGGGCCTGGCCCTTCCACCTACCTTCTCCAGCCTCAGTATCCTCATCCGTAAAAGAGCACGTGAGCAGTATTTGCCACATACAATTACTGTGAGGGCTGATAATGCATTTGGAACTAGAGGCTCACTGTTGAGATAGATCAACACAAACAAATACCCCAGGAATACAGAACTAACGAAGACTGGGTTGGATCTAAGTCTAAACCTTTCTAAAATGGGTAAGAAGTCTTGGCTTTGGTAGGGCCCAAGACTATACAAGCCACACCAAGAGCTCTACAGACAGAATCCCAACTTCTAGCACGGCCCAGAACCAAGCCCGTCTCCTCAGGCACCCTCTGACTAGCACTGGACAGTAAATCACTGGTTCTGGACCAGGACACAGAGCTCAGGTGTGGCTGCCGCCTGTCATCACAGCACTCTAGCTCTTGCCCAAGGCACCTCCTCAGTCCTTTGGAAGAGGCATACCTTGTTACTGAAGAAACTCTTCTAGCTTATATGAAGATGGGAACTCAGCTGGTATCTACATTCAGTGATCAATCAGGTTTGAGTGCCTACTGTGTGGTGGGCTGTGTTCTAGGCCCTGGGGATGCAACAAGGAGTGAGAAACAAGTTCCCTGCCCTCATGGCGCTTACAGCACAGTTTATTTATTTATTGTCTACCTTCACTCTTCTAATGGGTGAAAGGGAAGACTGACATTATACATCAGATGAAGGTGGGGAGAATCACACTCTTGGATAAGATCAAGGAAGGCTTGCTGAGAGACTCGAAGGAGGTGAGGGCGCCAGGCTACATGTTAAAAGCTGGAGTGGGGCCGGCCCGGTGGCGCACTGGATAGTGCGCCGCTTGGGAAGCATGGCGGCGCTCC